TTAATTAATTAGGGGACAGCGGTCAGGAATGACGTTAAACTATCATTTCTACTTTATTGGTATTTTACTTTATCTTTTTTATTGGTAAATTTTTTGTTCGGGATCGAAAAATTTTCGATATTCATATGTTTTATTACCTAATGCTTAATTATTTTTCGATACAGAAATTTTTGCGCTTTATTAGAGTTCAAAATTGAAATTATCTGACGATTATTATTAATATTTTAGGCGATTTTATAGATTTTTTTTTACGCAAGAACGAATTAATAATTGGGTGTCCTCAAGTACTTAAAGCAAAAATTTCTTTTATTATTATTTTTCTATTTTTAAAAGGATTATCATTCTCTTTTTTTGTTATTAAGCTGCTTAATAAAAATAATTGAAAATTTTTTAAAAATTATCATAAAAGTTCCTTCAATTTAAATATATTTATAATGATTATCCGCAGTGATACATAGCATCGTATGGCAATATCATGTAGTCAATATTAACTTCCTTAGTTATATTATAAATACATTTTTTGTTAAATTTATTGATTTATTTATTAAAGTGGCTTATGCAAATACCCAAATAAATGAATGGCATCAAAAAGTTGTAGTGTAAAATTAAAAAAATTTTTTTGTTCCGCAGAAGCACATCACGTGGTTTTAATCTTCTATACAAAGATATTTAATCCATATACTCTTTTCCTCTATCAATGATTAATAACTTTTAATTTATTTTTTTTGCATAGATTTAACTTAGTGAAATTTAATTGTATAAGATAATACATATATATGTGTNGTATTAGCCCTATAAAAACGAAATGTGTTAAATTTGTTGTTCATGTGTAATAAATGTCTAAAAAAGCACCATTTTGTTTAATTTTCGTTTTTTTGTAATAAGACATAAATCGGACAAAATGGTGCTTTTTTTAGACACTTATTACACACGAACAACAAATTTAACACATTTTGTTTTTATAGGGTATATTAAATTTACTGCGGTCCAAAATGACCTTAAACTATTGGTTAAACGGCTTTTCATATCTGATATTGATTAATTAGGAGACTGTGGTAAATACATTCAAAAATTGATTTTATTAAAACCTAGTATTAATTTATTTATTAAAGTGGGCTTATGCAAATGTACAAATAAATGAATGGATGGCATCAAAAAGTTGTAGCGTAAAATTAAAAAAAAATTTTTGTTCCGCAGAAGCACATCACGTGGTTTTTCATCATCTATACAAAGATATTTAATCCATATACTCTTTTCCTCTATCAATGATTAATAACTTTTAATTTATTTTTTTACATAGTAGATTTAACTTAGTGAAATTTAATTGTATCAGATAATACATGCATATATATATATACTGTATGTACAGTATTGTTAAATTTTGAGCGCAGTATTATATTAAATTTACTGCCGTCCAAAATGACCTTAAACTATTGGTTAAACGGTTTTTCATATTGATTAATTAGGGGACTGACGTTAAACTATTATTTCTACTTCATTGGGTATTTTACTTTATTTTTTTATTGGTAAATTATTTTATTAGAGGATCGAATATACAGTACATTTTGATCTAATATTTTGATATTTATTATTTTGCGATACAGAAATTTTTGCGCTTTATTAGAGTTCAAAATTGAAATTATCTGACGATTATATTTTAGGCGATTTTATAGATTTTTTTTTTACGCAAGAACGAAATTAATAATTGAGTGTCCTCAAGTAGTACTTAAAGCAAGATTTCTTTTATTATTATACATTCTATTTTTAAAAAGATTATCATTCTCTTTTTTTGTTATAAGCTTCATAATAAAAATAATTGAAAATTTTTTAAGAATTATCATAAAAGTTCCCCTTAATTTAAATATATTTATAATGATTATCCGCAGTACTACATAACATTGTATGTCAATATCATGTAGTCAATGTTAACTTCCTTAGTTATATTATAAATACATTTTTTATTAAAATTTATTAATTTATTTATTAAAGTGGCTTATGCAAATATACAAATAAATGAATAACATCAAAAAGTTGTAGCGTAAAATTAAAAAATTTTTTTGTTCCGCAGAAGCACATCACGTGGTTTTTTATTTTCTACTCAAAGATATTTAATCAATATACTCTTTTCCTCTATCAATGATTAATAACTTTTAATTTATTTTTTTACGTAGATTTAACTTAGTGAAATTTAATTGTATCAGATAATACATATATATATATGTACAGTATTGTTAATTTTTGGGCGCAGTATTATATTAAATTTACTGCTGTCCAAAATGACCTTAAACCATTGGTTAAAACGGCTTTTCATAGTGATTTTGTTCGGGATTTACGATTTTGGGATTTACGATTTTCATATGTTTTATTTCCTAATGCTTAATTTTTTTCGATACAGAAACTATTGCAGAATAACGAGTTCAAAATTGCTGGATATTCCTCCGTGCTTTATATAAAAAATATTGTCCAAACACTGTTCGGTTTTTTGTTCAGAAAATCGACCTCGTTCCGAACATTTACTTGACATTTATTTGACATTCATGTACGTTTTTTATGTGGTTAAAAATTCTCAATCTCCGCATCTTGTATTAAATTGTAACAAATATTGTATAATAGCGTGCGAGTGTCCGGAAAATTGACCCCATTCCGAATATTTATCTGTCAAAAATTTTTTATAAGGTATATATATACGCAAAATAATGACAATAACTATGCATAACAGATAAACTTTCTTGTTATAGAGCCAGCATGGTACGCACAGTGGTAGCGGTACGCTACTATATTTTGGAAATTTTATCAGCTATACCGATAATAATACAGTACAAGTTATATGTATAACAAGTATGGTACGGTATGTTGTTTTGAATTATATGAAGAAATTCAATTAATTTATAACTTTTATTATTAATAACGAGCACGTATGAAATGTGTGACAATTTTAGATGGTCATCAGCATGACATGGAAATTATGGTTGGTTGATCACCTGGTGACAAATAACTTTAAATGAATCTTGACCGACCAATAAAAAATGATAAAACTTTTTTTTTTTTATTTTTTAATCACTTAAATCAAATGCTATCACAATACACTAAATTATTGGAAACATTGCAATTTTAAAGAATTTTTATTAAAAATATTGAAACAAATTATATTATTATTAACATTAATGAATGAAATTACGCATCTAGCTTGCAAGTGTAACATTTTTTAAAATAACTGTTTATTCATTTATAAAATATTTATAAATATAAACTACTATATAAAAGAAATTAAATCTCTCGATGAGATCATCCGCCGCAACTTGTACCTTAAATAAGAACAAATTTTAAATTAAATATATACCGTAATTTCGGATATAATTTAAGCTATTAAGTAAATTAAGTTGTTTACTATGGTTTTCGGATATAATTTAAGCTATTAAGTAAATTAAGTTGTTTACTATGGAAGATAATTTCGGATTTCGGATTTCGGATTTCAGCTTTACTGCCATCTATAATCATAATCATAATAATAAAAGATGCGATTTAAATATGAAAGTAATATAATTGATACATAATAGCTATACTAAAACAACTAATAATGATAATAATGAACAGTCTATTAAAAAAAATGATATCCAATAAATATATTAAAATTGGGCATCAAATTTATGAAACACGGAGAACTGAACTAAGAGAACTAAAATAAACAACAAATATTTTATTTATGATGGTCCCTATTCTAAAAATTGAAAGAAATAATAATTCGTCCAAGTGTATTGTTATGTTAATATTTAATTCTGGAACGCCAACATGCATTGGAATTTCCAATCCAAATATAATACTATACATATATATATATATTTTTAGTTAATAGTATATTATCCATTTAGGTAAAATTTTGAAAGTTCTCATGACACTTTTGTATATAGAAACTCATTGTGAGATCATACGACAGGTCTCTTTTATATGTTTCACATGTTTATCCAAAGAAGTTTATAATATATTTTTAATAAAAAATTTTTAATTGGTTTCATTATTCCATTCCATTTACAGGTTCATTATCCATAAGAAATGCATATAATATTATTTTATAAACCAGATTGTTCTGTTTACATTCTTTTTGCGATTCTTTATTAGCTTTTACTACGCCCTGTATATCTAAGATCTGCAAACTTTAAAAATTGCTATTGTGTTATACTTTTGGTCAATCATTTCATTTTTTTTATTGGAATTTACAATACTGTCAGTATATCTAGTGTATCACAAAAACATTCAAAACAATGAAACCACCAAAGGATTCGGCTTGCAACACAATTTCTTTCTTACAAAAATCATTTATGAACGTCGGTGTTACCATTCCATATCGATTTTAGGGGTGTTTCAGATTTTCTTTTTTAGCTCTTCTATTCTAATAGACGCAGTTAAGTTGTGATATCAGTGTATGAAATATTGTTACCCTACTTTTTATTAATTAAATGATTTTACAACATAATTCTATACATAAAAAAGCAATGAACAATTTTTTGGTTTACTTACAATTTATTAATAATTTTAGGAAATGTGTTACATTTTCGGAAATGCCGACGCATATTGGCGTTTCGGAATTGATCATATTGATGCCGTCTTTTATTTTTTTTTTTCAAAAAAAAAAAAAATAATAAGTCAAACCAAATTAAGCATGGTATTCAAAAAAGGGGTTAAAATTTTTTTAAAAAGAAATTTGGAAAACTAATTATTCATGATCCAAAAACCTCCAAATATTTTATTCTAAATATTCGATTAATAAAAAGTTCTTTGTAAATACGGAATATTAATATATATTATATTTTAATGTCAATTTGCTATAATTGGCACTCTTATATATAAAACATGTTACACGCAATTAATTGGCATGAATCGACATATCCGGAATAGTTCATTTCGAAAATAGATATATATATACCTTGTTCAGCATGATGATAAAAAAAAATTCGATACTTTCCCTTCTCACTTCTCACCCCCTTCTCACTCTTAATTATAATATGTCATGTTCAAAAATACTTTCAGGAGATTTACCTGAATTAACCTACGAAATTATAAAATATTTTCGAGATGATTACTCAACTTTACATTCATGCATTTTAGTTAATAGATCATGGTGTCGTTTAGCGATTCCATTATTATGGGAAAACCCATTTTCAATTTGTGCCGAAAATTATAATTTTGTTGAAATTTACATTCATAATTTAAACGATGATTTGAAGATAAAACTAAATGAATGTAAAATTATTGATAATAATTCATTACATTTGAATACACTGTTCAATTATCCTAGTTTTTTAAAATATTTGAATATATACAATTTTGTTCACTCCGTTAACGAATGGTTTAAAGCTAATACAAAACATGAAGATCAATTATGTTCAGTATTTGATTTTATTAGTATGTCACTGTTCGGGATATTTATTGAAAATGAAGTAAATTTACATACTCTTGAAATTGAGGTCCAGAGTAGTTATGACACATATATTGATAATATTGTTGAATTTATTTTAAAAAATCCAAACTTCATTCTCAATATTAGAAATTTAAAACTTTATATTTTACTTAATTATGATAACGAACATTCTTCAGATCGTATATTACAAATAGTTAATTTGCATCAAAATCTTAAAAAAATTATTTTAAATAATGATTATTTATCTTTATTACGATCATTATTGCTATCAAAAGATTATAATTGTTCAAATACCTTAAATACAATTGTATTCTATGAAATCGATTTTAATTTTTTAAACTATGAAATATTTGAACAATTAAATGTTTTAGAATCTATTCATATCATTTATTGTTCTTTGAGTAATAATTTTTTTCATCAAATTATTAATTTATCTAAACAATTTAAATTAAAATCTTTATTTATAAGAGAGATACCACAAATTGATTCAATAGAATTATTATTACAAACATCTGGACATTATTTAAGAAATTTCGGGTATAATTTTGGATTTTACCGTCATATAAATATATCATTAAGAAATCAATTATTAGAATTAATTACAAAATATTGTAAAAATATTAAATATCTTTATTTAAGCCATGGTGATGACATGAATATTTATCCATTATTCAATTTTATTGAAAATATGAAACAAAGTCTTGATTATCTTACGATCGATATATCAAGTTTTACTTATCATCCTTTGAAGCGTTATTATAGTGAAGCTAGTCAAATTATTTTACAAAATTTAGGACAAGTTCTTCCTCCTAAATTAGAATATTTATGTTTAGATCTTTTTTATGTTGAATCAAATGATTTCGAAGTATTTCTAAAAAATTCTCAAGATACTTTTATTAATAAATTATTAATTCGCAAGATTAACAGTCAAGATATCTTACCCTATATAAAAGAATACTATATCATGAAAAATAAAAGGGTTAAGTATCTATCTATTTATGATCTTTCCTCGGTTGGTAGTAAAAGAGATATTGACCTATTTTCATTAAAAGATGAAGTGAAGGAATTTGGGTTGTATAATATTAAAGTACAAAGTTACAATAGTTCAGTGATTTATGATCATATGAGAGTAATTGATTAATTATTATTTAGTAACAAGTAAATAAGATTCAAGTTACTTTTTCCAAAATTATGACTCAAATAGTATTTAACTGGGTTAACCGATTTTTGAGATGCCCTAAATAGACATTAAATATCGCTAATTTAAATATTAATTTTTAAAAATCGGATAATTTAAAGAAAATTAAACATCTTTTCTTTTTTATTTTCAAATTAAATGTTTTATATTTCATTTTTACTAATATTCTATTATTATGCGTGATAAGTTTTTTGTTTATGTAATGATTTTATATAATAAACGTTGAGTAAAATAGAAAAAATCATTTTAAAGACGATGAAAATTCAAGCTAATGGATTTGTTTGTACAGTACATGTATTGCTTATGGTGTATATCTCATCCTCAAATAAGAAATTTTGTTGTTTCAGAAAAATTGATATAAAATGAATCATTTAAAATCCAGACATAATATACGTACTAATAAACGTGATCGTGAATAAAATTTGTGTCTCCAAAAAAAAAGGCAAATCAAAAATAGTTGAAACAAAAAAATGGTTAGAGATTTTGTTATTTGCATCATTTTTTATTAAAATAAATTTCTCTCTTTTTCAAGTAAAATTTTCAATATTTTCTTTCATAAAATCAATTTCTTATATTTATTATTTGTATTAAAAAAAGAATCTTACACTATTAATGTTAAATTTTTATTAGCATAAATCAACTTTACTAGTAAACAAACATTTTATACTATTGATATTTAACTAAAAAATACATAATTGGCAAACTCAAATAACAAAATTGTTGTTATTTTAAGGAACATTTTATTGAAAGAAATATAGAATGTATAGTATCCAGTTAACAATTCAAATATTGAATTCTTCGTAGCGGACATCGATCATTTATTTAATTTTATTCATATCGTATAATATAAATGCCGTTATTAAAAAATTCTACATAATAATATACGCTCAAATTTTACAAATAATTTGATTTCAGCTTTGATTTGCTATAAATTAGATTTTATTAGAATCAGATTGTTACATTTGTGCAAAGTTTTAAGTTTCGTCCATGCATATTCATTTTCGCCTATCAATTTTTGTCTGATGATTGACAAAAATGAATGAATTATCACACACAAATAATGTATTATAACAATATTAAAAACTAAGTTAGTAAGGGCAGTGACATATATTAGCTAAGCCAGAAGGCTTTAATGATCCAAGCAATTAAACTTATTAAAAAATACTAATATTATTTATGGATGAATTCATGTTTTAATATTATCAAATGTTTGATTAATTATTATTATTTTAAAGAGAATAATTTTATTAATTTGATAGTAAGAATCGGCGCTTACGTGGTACTGCAGCAGTAAGCGCGTCTCCCTAATTTGTGAGTTCCCAATCCGAAAAGACAAAAAAAAATAAAAACAGAAGAACGGGAGATTGGTGCTCACCATAGTACCATAAGAGGACCCCGGATAATTATAATTGAGGTCATATCTTACTATGTTTTAAACTTTATTTTTCTTTTAACATGTAATTTTATTAAGTTAATATTATTTTTTACCATAGAAAAAAATGTTTCTTTTGAAGAGAAGAATCTTTTGATACCAAAATCTTGTAAATCTACTGATTAGAATTTGAGATAAGTATCGTTACACAGGCAAAATTTGGCAAAAAAATATACGCTTTTTCACTATCGGTATACATAGAAATATACAAAAAAATAAAAATTACTATTATTAAATATTACTTTTTAAGTAACAAAATTATAGATAATAG